CCTGCTGAAAAATACACCCACCAATCTGCGATGGAGACTTGCCCTAAGCAGCATTCAGCTCAGGATCAGAGTGGCCGGGGGTAACGTACCACATTGAGATAGATATGGGATGGACCAACTATGCCTTATAAAAAGGACAATGCGGACGTTGCAAATATAACCCGAGTATTACGCCCAGGGTCGAATCCACAGAGAGTTAACCTATCAATCACTATCTTTAGACCCACTAAACTCTTCAGAACCAGTTTCCCAGATGTTTGAATTACAGTTGAAGGTCGCTTTACTAACTACGATTGCAAGTAAATTAAACAGCTGTAAATTAAAATGCTAAGGTTGTAAACAATGATGAGAAGAAGCTAAGGCAATGATTTCCCCTATTGAAGGAATCCCTTCTGTTTATGCTCATACAAATTTACCAACACATCTCTATCAATCATGAACGCTCATCTTACCGTAAATCTCTCCCGAGTAATCACAGTAATATACTAATTGCACTCTCCCGAGATACACTAGCTTACTTTATTTAGTACAATTCACTTTAGATTACCCCCAAGGCTTCGTTATCCCTAATCCCGCCTTTAAACCCGCAATTATAGATTCCTCTTATACTTTGGGAGTGGTGTTGTTCAACAATAACCTAAATATGCACTCTTTTCCAAGTTATGCACACTAAATAGGCACAGCTAATTGAGGATCCTGTCAATTAACTACAACAAGCACAAAGTTGAACAAATAGAGATTGAAACTAGCAATTTGTATTCACATAAACAAGATGTTCATCCCCCAATAGGTTCCATCAAAGCCTTAGACAAAGGATTTAGCTACTCATGGCTATGGAAAAATTAACTAAGATAGAATTCATCATAACTAGCAATAAAAATCCAAGAAAAGAAGAAAGATGTTTTGGGTGATCTCTCACAATTGTTTTCCTTGCCAAGATACTCTAAAATTCAATACATGCCTCTCTTGGGCGAAGTCTTGTATTTAAAATAGGGTTTAGGTCTAAAAATCTCGTGTTTTACACTTTAGTCCCTGAAGTTTTCTGCTTCCGCCGCGGTTCTGCCGCGGTCGCGGTCAAACCGCGGCCAAATGCCTTCTCTGAATCTGAAGTTATCCGCAGCTATCTTCCACCGCGGTTCTACCTCGGTCGCGGTGGAACTGCGGTCAACCCAGTCCTCTGAATCTTCAGGCCTTTTTTGCGTGGTTTCCTTGGGGAATTTCACAGTTGGCCTATTTTTCTTCATTTTTGACTCCAAAAATACTCCCTAGCCTTCCCTGATCATATATCACCTGCAAATCATGAAAAGCACTAATAAGAGCATTTTGTTATCACTTTTATCATCAAAATTATACAAGAAGGTGGTTATTTAAGGCGTGATTATAGTTAAATTCACCTATTATCAGGACCCCTTTTTGACTTGTTTAGGACTACATATTGATTATCTCCTTTTTTTGTGAAGCATCAACTATCCCAGAAACTTCAACAATCTAAATCAGAAAACTAAACCAGTAAATCCAATGTTGAAGCTTGCTTGACTTCGAAAAATTTAATTTTCCGCAATTGGATTTTATTTTGAGTGAGTATTATTAGAATAGATCAGGTACATCTCGGAGAGTTACTTTCATGCATAAAAAAATATTTGATTACTTAAAAATTGAAGAAGATGAGCTAAAAATCCATTGAAAACCATTGAAACTCGCTTGAGATAAAGTTCAAAAATTTGAGTTTACGAAATTGGAATTTGTTTCTAGTGGATATTGTTGGAACAAATTAGGTATATCTTTGAATCTCGACTTTGTAACAATTTTAGTGGAGATTCGAGGTGATTTGGATTGAATTTTGAGTCAATTCGAAATAGATGAAGAGCATGGAAGAAGACGAGTTGTGTATATTATCATGTAAATCGGTGTATCTACCATGTATCCTTGGTGTATCCAATGTGTATTCTCCATATATATGTGTATATCAATGTATACTTGTGTCTGATATACGTGGATATACAGTGGGATACATGTGTCGAGAAATACTTTTTTGATTCAATTTCAATAACAAATTTTAACTCTAAACCAATTCAAATCACCTCCAATCTTTCTGAAATTCCATATATTGCCTTGACTATGTACTTTAACGAATTTTCAATAATATCTATTGAAAAAATGTTTTTAAGGTATTTAAATATTATATATTATTGGTAACTTTTATTCATAAAAATAGTTAAAGGGCCTTCTATGGATAAGTGACGATAAATATTTTATTTTTTGTTGTCTCTTTTTAAATGTCTCTCTTTTATTTTTTTCTTTCTTTTTTTCTTTTTTTGGTTAGCACGTGGTTTTAGGTTTGAACTTATACATTTAGACACAACGCGCCCAACTTTAACGCATATCTTGAGGAAAAATATGGGTAGGATGGCCACTTTTTGGGTTCGCAATGAGTTTTTTAGCCGCTATTGTCTACAATTTGTGGAATTATACCGAGTATCTTGTTGTTGATGAGTCTTTAGCCACTATTTAAAACATAATAGGGAGATAACCACTTTTTAATGAAAAAATAAAATTGTAAAAAATTCCTACTTAAAACACGAAAGAACCACATAAATCGTTCATGGGATTTAAACTTATAAAGCTTCAAAATTCAACATTTGTTCACGCCTTCATGAAGTCTGAAACTCCAACAAATTGTCGCACTTAGTTGTGAAACTTTTTCAAGCTCCAGTAATCATTTTTGGGGTTTGAAACTCTAGCAAATGTTTCATGGCATTTGAAATTCTAGCAAATCTTCACACGTAGTTTTAAATTTTTTGACCATGTGAATCATTCATGGGGTTTGAATTTATAAAGTTTTGAAATTTGTACCGTCTGCTTGAGTTGTTTCGTGTTTTAGTTGGAAGTATTTTTATCCGAAACTTGCCATATGTCAAAAGAGTGAGTAAAGATTAATAATTTTGCTAACATTTGATTAGCTGTCCAAAAAATGGCTATGTATTAATTTTTTGGATTAGTTACCTCCTATAGCAAAGGTTGATACCTTATTTATTTTAAATAAATACCCTTTTAAAAAATTATATTCCATAGCTACCTTTTGATTTTTTATAGCCAACTATCTATTTATGTTTACCTCCTACCCTTAAGCCATAAAACAAGTTTTATATTATTTTTCTCTCTCCACTCAAATTTCTCCTATCCCTAACCAAAAGCTTCAACCGAGGACCCCTAAAAAGGCTGCCCACCCCCAATCTCTCACCCACCAGTAGCCCATCTCGTTCTCATTCTCTTCAATGGAGGATAGATCTCCTCCTTCTTGAGAGAGCAGCATTCGTCCTTCCCATTTTCCTTCTCCAAGAACGCCCAACACTCCACCCCTCACAAACTTGGTCATCCGCCCACCTTCCTAAGAGAGGATCATCATCCTTGAATTCCAAAAAGAAAGCTGATACCAGCCCACTCCATTAACAACCTCCAGTCGCCACCCCAAGAAAAGGGAACGAACATCAGCTGCAAAAAAAAGGAACGAAGACGACGGCGTTTGGGGCTGAGCAACTTGAGTTTTCTGTTAATATATTTCAATGTATTTCAATGTATCTCGCTGTATTTCCATCTATTTCATTGTATTCATTGTCTTTTTTTTTCCCATTGTATTTCAATGTATCTCACTGTATTCCATGTATTTCATTGTATTGATCACTGTCTCGTTAAATTCCATGAATGTATTCATATATTTATTTAATTAATATAATTTATGTATTCAGATGTATTATATAATTTCTCCGAAGAATGCCATGTTTTTGGGGTGTTTTTCGGTTGAGAATCTTTTTTATAATTGGAAATATAAAATTTGTGTGTTATAATTGAGTTTGTTGAGTTATATTAGGAGTCTATTATGTTAATTGATTCACTTTTCCGTTTAAAAATAGTGTAATCCCCTGTTTCACACCGTGAATACAGTTGAATACAATAATCTGTCCAGCTGTAATCCCATATTTCACGCCATGAATACAGTCGAATACACTCGAATACAAAAATCTGTCTAGCTGTAATCCCCTGTTTCACGCCTAGAAATGCTACTGTATTCATGAATACAGTAGCTTAACTACATTGAATACATTCTAAAAAATATGTAAACTTAGCTATAGGAAGTAATATAGTAAATAGTAGCTACAATTAGCTAATTTTCACTAAAACATAGTGATTTCTGAAAGTTTCTCTAATTTCTTCCGGTCTTAAGCCCATTGATCTCTTCCTCCAGCATCCAATGTCTTAGTCCGTAGGTATAATATTTATATTTTTCACACTCCATGTCTAAATTCTCTTGGAGTCATTAGGTTATTTTATATTTTTGAAATTGTCTAGAAAAATATTAGTAGTATCTATCTCTTGTGGTGGGGAGAGGATTTAACTCAGCGACGAAGCTAGCATAGGATTTGTTGGTGCACCGAATCAAGTAACTTTGATCTAAATCAATGTATTGGTCTTAAAAAATTCATTGAATATACATAGATTGTTAATCAATAACATAAAAGAACTAAAATTCCGAACCCATATGCTTCAAATTCTAGTTTCACCGCTAATTTAATTGTTAGTTAGTATCCCTTTAATTGTTGGGTTGACCTTTTCACTCTATTTTTTCATTTTATGCATACGCTTAGTGTAGCATGATATCAGACATCTTATATATGATGCAACAAAATAGAGAATTGATAAACTAGGATGAAAAGAGTATAATATTGAGAAGATTTTTTTTTTAAAACAACCAATCCTATTTGAATATTTGTTTGTATAAAAAGTATCACGGCTCCTGGACATAAAAAAATAAAATATCTCAGCTCAGGTATGCGTATTACATTTTTGCAAGTAATATATCGTTTTCTCTTTGGCGATTCTAACATCACATATATATTATTCCTTACCAATCTTTTGAAGAAGCAATATGTTATGTATGCGTTTTATATTTTTGCAAGAAAATTATACTCCGTATAATTCTTTACTAGAAAGATTGTAATATATAGTATCAAAATCGACTATAAAATTAATCAGGTCAGCATGCATATGCAAAATTCCCCATCAGTTTTTCCAAGAATCCCAGCAATTCACATGCTGAGTACTCCATCCAAACGTCGATGTCTGATTTGCATCCGAGCCCTTAAATCTTCTCCAATCATGAAGGACAGCCGTCAGATCAGCCAATTTTGCACTTATACTAGGACAACAATTGGCATGAACAGTTGCAACAACGTTAACATCTTTACTATCATCACAAAAGCCACTGAAATAAAGGGTGTCCAAAAACCTAACAGTGAGACCCAATTGTTTGAACTTCCCATCTTTCATTAACTTGATCAAAACGTCCTGGTCTTTCCATCCTGTTGAATTAATGTTGTCTTTTCCGGCATACCAAGCATCCAACAATTCTATGGTTTTGCTGTTTGATTTGATCATGTAGAAGCCTGTGTTTATTGGGTTTTCTTCATACCACTGGCTTCCGTTGAACTTGTCTGTACTGATTTGAAGGTCTACGGTTTGATTTACGTACAAGTTCGGAAATGGATTCCTTAGCCATAGCACATCAGTGTCCTGTTGAATGAATAAACAAACAAAATTATATATAAAAATGATCGAACCAAATGCAGATCTCTAGACGATCGTATTTCACGCCGAAATAATAGAACTGGACTTGAGTTAGATTTAAACTTTTGACTTGCTTATTGTGACTAGATCTCTTATGCAAAAAGTAGAAGCAAGATGCACATGATCAATTTCAACGTAGGAAAATCTAGTCAAATATGGAATTTAATTATCACAAACGCGTTGGGTTAATTTGAAGATATTCGAGTTGTCTTCCCCCAAGATGCAAACTTGTCATTATATGTTGAACATTAATAGAGTAGCATCATTTGTTTACTAGAATAGAATCTGACCAGAAAGTTGTCTGGAAATACTAAATAGTATCTCTAGTTATAGTAACTGCTTACAACTTCCTATAAATGATTTTCTAGTTCAACTTTCCTTGCCATGATTTTAGCCTTTTTCCATGGTAAAAACAAACAAGAAAATGGATTCAACTCCTCTTCATTTCCCCAACTCCCTATATAAATAGAGGACACATGTCACCTTTTATCATTAATGCATGGTGTACATTTAATTATCTAAAGATTGGTCTTAACCATGCTTAGTAATAGGTAGTATTAATATATATAAAAATATTTATATTGCCCAAAATTACTCCAAAAATAGCACAAAAAATCCTGTTGCATAGATTCTTGCCAGGGATATTATGTTTTTGAGAGATTACTGCTACAGCAAAATTCAACAAAATAGAAACATCCTAAAATTAAGCTCTAGAAGAGGAAAAAACGGAGAATAAATAATTTAGACATTGAAGTTTTATTGTTACTGAAAATAAATTGACTATACACCTCAGGTTCTTCTTAAGTTGCAAAACTTGGTATGTAATATCACTTTAAAGATGAGATAAAGAGAATTTTAATGTATCACATATATTTATAAATTCTGAAAATATAGTTAGAGTTCTTTTTATTTAGCTAATTGAATTGTGGGATTTCCATAAATTTTCGGGAGCAAATGGAAATACTATTATTCTAACCATGATTTAGATCCATCTTTTGTAAATTAAATCTATCCTCCGTTATACTTTCCGTTCAAATATACTCTTACCGTTCATTAAAGTTTTATATTTTCCCCTATATTAACGGCCAAGACACGTGGCATCTTCTGAGAGGTTGAACTAACCCAACATTAAAAAAAATTCAACCTGACTTGTTACACATGACCCGCCTGACACTATTGCCCTAACTATTCGCATACCAAAAAGAGGAAGAAGTAGACATTATTCTGCCGTCTTCAAGAAAAGAGGAAAACACCTTATTCATCTTCAACAAAATTCAATTGGTATTCTACCATAACTTTTCGACATTGAAGTTAAACATAGTCATGTTTTTTACTTAAAATCACATCAGAGAGACAATCTCACTATTACCAGAAGAAACCATATGAACAGGGGAACCACCAACACCATTCTTAGAGAAATTTTATTTTGAGACCATTTTCACCATCCTTTATTATCAATTCCATCTTTTTACACAAGACCCAGGTCAACAATTATAAAGAGCCATTCCTTAAAAATCTTTATCAGTTTACTTTTGAAATCTTCTTTGTTGTCGGCGCCATCAAATTCCCATCATTGACAACGGGAATCGTCGGCGAAGTTTTCGTTCAAACTCGATGGTTGTCTGGTTGATTTTTGAAGGTGCATGGAATTTGTAAGGTGTTTCAGACTTTCTTTTGTTGCTCGCCACTACTGTTAGTTCACCTGCTGATGCTCATGCATCAAATTAGAACTGAATTTAGAACTACACCATAGTTGTAATCAACCAGAAAAAAGAAAAGAAGAACGAGGAGAAAGAGTTAGGGATTTACCCAATTTCAGGTGCTCAAAACTCAACTTATGACCTCAGGATTTACCTTAGACCGGGAAATAAAAGTCCAAAGAATAACCGGACTTTTCGTTCAAATAAAGAGCTAGAATACATACACCTGCGAGCCAAGTACCGTACCTGGTGACTCATCGGAATGAAAGGTGCAACTATTCAAGCTAAGAGAGCTATTTGGTTTTCGGAGGTGACAAGGGTTATTCTGTTTTCTTCAAATTCATGAAGATGGGGAATTTGGGTTTTAAATTTTCATAAAAGAAGACGATGGGAGACGATGGTTATTAGATGGCCAATTTAGAGTTCTCCATCAGCGGCGGTGGTGACGGAAGAGGTATGGTAGTCTAGGTGGAGACTGTAGGGTCAGATTTGTTTTAATTGAAATGGGTCGGATCAGGTCACGGATTATCTGAACGGGTTTGTGTTATTTTGTTATGGGTTGGGACCTTCGCTTAGCAGCCTCCACGTGGCAAGTCCGTCAAATCAGGGGCAAATTTAAAACTTTGCCAAACGGTAAGGGTAAAAATAGCCAAAAAGTATAACGGAGGACATAATAAACAATAGTAGAGGGATATATCTGACCCTTTTTCCGTAAAAAATCATCTAAACATTTCTCTCGATGAGAACTTTGAAAACGCAAAAAAGGTCTTTGGAAATAGGTTAAGTTAAAACATATACTATATACCTAAGAACTACAAAAGTACTAACTTAGAACAGATCCTTATTTTGGTAGTAACTACATTATACATATTTACCGACGTTGGAGAACTTAAGAAAAAAATAACCAGAAATTACGGCTCAATTTACGTGTAAAAGCACATGCTTTAGTTTTTACCGGCAAACATTAACTATCTTAATCACTTTCTCTCAATTCTCCCTAGATAAACAGTTGTACCCCTTCTGTTCCAGTTTATGTAAACCTATTTCCTTTTGGTTCGTTCTAGAAAGATGACTCTTTTCTAAATTTGGTAACAATTTAACTTAAACTTACAATTCTATCCTTAATGAGAATCTTTTATAGCCACACAAATACTCTGGCCCCTTTTTGACTTGTTTAGGATCACAAATTTCAAAAGACTTCATTTTTTCTTAAACTCTGTGCGCAGTCAAACAAACACATAAATTGGAACGGAGGGAGTAATTATTATTCCCAGTTTTCACTTTATTTTCCTGGAAATACTACATGAAGTATGCCTACATCACACCCTTGGTGCGGCCATTTTTCGTATTCTGCGTGGACACGGGATGTTTCGTACACCAAATTGCCATTTTTACTACATGAAATATGCATCGCAAAGCATGAAAGAAAAATTGCTAGAATAATTTTTTATGACACATAAACATACCGTAAAGATGAAGTTGTAACCTTTCTTAAGAACATCACCTAAGAACAAGGTTCTTCTCCACATCATCATGATAAAATCATGAGACAACAACTTTTCTCCACCAAAATCTACACCATCTGTTTCGAGCTTATAACAATGAAGATGCATAGAGTTGCACCGTTCGTACGAGGTTTGATCCATTGCAACGATCAAAAGGCGGTTCACTAATTCCCTAGTGCCTTCTCCTTGCCAAAAACCATCCAAGAAGAGATCTAGCATTGGTTTATCTCCCTCTATGTATGCTTTATTTACAACAGTAATTATTACCGTCTTATTCTCCGTTGCTGCTCCGGCCAACGCTTGTTCAAGATCATCTTTAATATACACTGTTTCATGCAACTGCATGCACCCCATAAAAGAAAACAAACCATTAGACATGAGAAGAGTAAAATGTAGCTCGGCACGCGTAGCTCCCGCCAAATTGCATTGAGTCTATATATTATAGGAGTACCAATTTTGTTATATTTTTGCAAAAAACGGTTTTCCAGTTTGAACTCGTGACATTGCGCCAAGACTACTTTTAATATAGGGGAAAAAATGCAGAAGTATATGATACTGATATGTATATATATATATTAAAACAAGAATTAAAATGTTACCTGTTTTGAGGGGTTAAAGAGTGAGAGTTGCCAAGGGAAGAAGGGGGTGTTGCTAGGAGAAGTGAAGATATTAATGGAGAAAAAGAGTAGACCAAAGAACAAAATCATGTATTTGATATGGTGACTATGATCAATTATGACTCGATTTTTAGCGTGGTCCATGGCTGTAGTGGGGATGATTGATTTGCAAGGCCGAAGAACTGATCTTGAAAATAAACTTCTCAAGGAGGAAATTTTATGGACTTTCCCCATTGCCAAGTTAGTAAGTCTTTGTGTTTTTTATGTAGCAAGAAGAATATATGATTTATTTAGACAACTACTATAGTCCACGTGTCAAACCAAGGTTTGACTCTTTATTATTTGATCAATTATGGTGGGTTGAGTGCAAGAGAGTTTTACATATGGAATAAATAATGGCTAACACGATACCGAAACATGAGACGTAATAAACAGTTGTCCATTTTTGCATTAGCCAAGATTTGGCTGATAATAATAAAATAATTTCGACCAAGTTTCTTCTATTCAGCTTCAAATAATTAGCGTTTAATCTGTTTTAATCTTCTGATAAAATGTGACAACTCCATCATTTCCTGTATCACTTGTTAAAATTATTTGTTATTATTACTTGTAAGTTGTAAACTACAATTCCATTTGACTGTAAGTAGTAATCAATAACTCAAACGCGACAAGCATTTTGGCAACACTTAATACCAGGTTTTAAATTTTAGAAGGACTTAGATTGCCATACGACGTGGATTTACGCTTTGAAAATCATTGTGGATTGCCGTACGATGTGAATTCCCACGTTGAAGATTATTGTAAATTCATAGTAATAAATAACAATAACCCCTTCTTATACTTAAACCTCTCATTATTGTAGGGGTAAAAACTTGCTCGGATCTTGTTATGGATCCAATATCCACGACCCAATACAAAGGAATTACACTAAAAAGTAACAATAATTGAGTAACAGAAAGAAAGTGGTTGAGGGAGAGACAGAGCCGCATAGAGAAATAGTCAGAGGGAGAGAGACTAGAGAAGGAAGTTTCTACAAAATTCAGTCTAACGTCTCCATGCTAACGCCTAGTCCTGTTTAATCGATTCGTGATTGCACTTCTTGGACCCAGATCCCAAATTAACCTTTTCGAAGGCCTTCTGGCCATGTGACTTCTTCTCGGCCCAATAATTCTTCTTGGCCCAATGTCTTGGTTCATAACAATACTCCCGTCCTTAATAAGAACCTTGTCACTACTAGAAATCTGATAATTATCGACCAAAATTTTCCGACCAACGTTGGTCGGTCAAAAAAAAGCGGCCAAAGTTACACGGAAACCGGGGGAAAATATTTTACATCTATTTTAAAAAGAAATACCGACCAAAGTTGGTCGGTAAGTTGGTCAACAAGTTGACCGAGCTGGTCAGACTTGCTTAGTCAAAGAAACTTTCACATTACCGACCAACTTTGATCGGTAATGTAGACCCAATTTTTAAAATTTTAATAGTTATATTATTATTTAAAATATTTTATAAAATTTACCAAAGTTGGTCGGTTAATTCAGGGGAAGCATTTACCGACCAACTTTGGTCGGTAATATGGACCCAATTTTTAAAATTTTAATAGTATATTATATTTAAAATGTTTTATAAAATTTAAAGAAATTTTATTTAAAATTACCGACCAAAGTTGGTCGGCTAATTTAGGGGAAGCATTTACCGACCAACTTTGGTCGGTATATTTTAATTTCTGGAAAATAACCGTTAACTATCTAAATAATATAAATGTAATCCGTTAACACTTTTGTAATACAAATAATGAATACACTATCATATGCTATAACATATACTATAACATGCTATATATGTAGTCAAAGTCGTACAACGAAGCGTGTGTTAAATATAGGTCAAACGTTTTGTTTTTTACATTAAACGATGCATCTGAGTAAGTTATAAGTCGATGAATAAATTTACAAACAGATATATTTGATGATAAATTATATATATAGACTTGTGAAGATCCTAATTAGTATATATAATTTATCATCAAATATATCTGTTTGTAAATTGATTCATCGACTTATAACTTACTCAGATGCATCATTGAATATTAGAAACAAAACATTTGACCTATATCTATTAATAGTAAAAATAAAACGTCTCGGCCTATAACGAAGTGTGTGTGTTATATATATACACACACTAACATATACTATAACAAGCTATATATATAGTTAAAGTATTACAATGAAGTGTCTGTGTGTGTGTATGTGTGGTATATATATATATATATATATATATATTAAGAATATGAAGCGCTAGGAACACAAGGTCCGGTTCTTTTAGGGATTGATAGACTTGTAAATTGATTCATCGACTTATAAATTATTTAGATGCATCGATGAATATTAAAAATAAAACGTTTTGACCTATATCGATTAATATAAAAAATAAAACGTCTCGACCTAAAATTGAATAATATTATATTTGTTTATCAATTGATTAATTATTCGTATGTAGTAATGTATAAGATTGATCATCCATTACAATATAGTGTATGTATGTGTGTGAAATTATTCATATACTTAAATATAACTTAGAAAATTTACTTACATAGATGCTATTATAATCTATTAAAAGTAAGCACCTAGTTAATATAATTTTTTGTAAAGATTATGCTTATAGTTTATAATTATTTATAATAATTGTATAGTTAAATAAAATAAATGCTTATAGTTAATATACCGACCAACGTTGGTCGGTAATTCTAAAATACAGAATGAAATAACGGGTTCCCCCTCCCCCCTCCCAGTTCTCTTACTTTCTTCCCCAAATTTACCCTAATTCCTCCCTCAATACTTTCCCCTCTCTTTTTTTATTTTTCTCACACAAATCCCATTCCCCACTCCGCGTCACCACCGCCCCTCGTCTACCGTCACCGTCGCTGGCCACTGCCGCTGCCACTGTACTGCCGCCTCTCTCCTTCTCCACCTAAAAATTCTAGGTTTGAATTACAACCCATTTCTTTGTTATATCTAGGTTTTGTTTCAATTATTTGAACATTGTATTTTATTGAGGACTAGGGTTTAGGTCTTGTTTTAATTAGTTTTGTTAATTAGTTTTATTAACTAATTAGTTTAATTAGTCTTGAATAGTTTAGTTAGAATTGAATTATTAACTTTGTATTGTCTTGTCACGACCCGGATTTCTCACCATCGGGATCGTGATGGTGCCTACTCGTGGTAGCTAGGCAAGCCAACTTATTTACCTTTTCATCACTAAACAATTATTTTAATAATTTATAGCATCAATATAGAACATGAAATTTACTAAAAATAATAGCGGAAGTCTGATTTATAAATCTGAATCAAAACACGGAACAGTTAATAATAGCCTCTACCCAAGATTTGGTGTCACATCACTCACGAACCACTAAGAATATACTAAATACAAAGGTCTGAAAGAAACATAGAAGCTGTCTGTCTCGAGACAAGGAGGCAACAGTCTAAAAGAGAACATAAAGAAGAGACGCCGGGCCTGCGGACGCCTGCAAGGCTACCTCGGTCTCGTGATAATGAAAGCCTGCTCCCGTACTAATGCTGCTGCTGCTCCTCAGAACCTGGACCTGTGCAAAAATGCACAGAAGCATAGCATCAGCACAACCGACCCGATGTGCTGGTAAGTGTCTAGCCTAACCCCGGCGAAGTAGTGACGAGGCTAGACCGGACACCACATAAACCTGTGCAGTTATAAATATACAACGGAAACAAAATACCAAACAACTAGCAATATGGGAGGGGGAAACATGCTGTGGGGAGATAACAATAGTAACAGTAATTCCGAGTAACAAACTAAAGCAGCTTAGATTCACAATGAACAAGGAAAACAATACTCAATATAAACACATGGTATCAATAACTGTTGCGGCGTGCAACCCGGTCCACAATTTACCATTGTTGCGGCGTGCAACCCGATCCACAAATACCACTGTTGCGGCGTGCAACCCGACCCACATCATTTATCACGTATCATTGTTGCGGCGCGCAACCCGATCCTCACATATTATTGTTGCGGCGTGCAACCCGATCCTCAATATCTTTGTTGCGGCGCGCAACCCGATCCACATCATTTAACAGTCTGACTCCCCAAACAACAGTCACGATTAAGAGGCATAAAAATATAAGCAAATATTTGACAAAAATCCCGGCAAGGGAAAGAAACCAACAAGTTCAACCAAACGTCCCGGCAAGGGAATAATCAACAACGCTTTCTCTTTCTTACTTTTCTTATCTTATAATCCACTCTACCATCTTGAGCCAACGCTCCACAGATTCAAGTCATTTCATATACTTTCAATATTCGTATCACAATTCGAGCCAATGCTCCTAGGATCAAATGATCATATCACCGATCACATGTTATTCACAACATATAGAAATCCTCTAATAAACACGGAGTTCACAACCAAGCCATGATAATCACATTATAAGGACTCACGGTCATGCTAGACACCAATGTATAGATACTCGTCACCATGCCTATACATCGTACTCGATCACATAGCAATTAGCAACAAGACTCAACTCTTATTCCCTCAAGCTAGGGTTAAACCAAACACTTACCTCAAAGCCTTGAAGTCCACTTAGTCCTCAACTATCGCTTTACCTCACTTCCACCTCCAATTCGCTCGAATCTAATCACAAATTGTTCAATTACTTTAATAAACACTATATGAATCAATTTGAA